GAGGCAAGCAGAAGATAACAGCAGCAAAGTCTCAAAAAGCAGACTGACAAACTAGAACTGTGAGGAGTAGAGATTAGAGTATAGCAAGAAAACAAACCGGCCATACAATTTGATTTTGGAAAGGTCAAGGTCAACATTTAATTACATTTTTTTATTAAATGTTGGTAGCTGAAACTACCTTTTTAGGGCTTTGGTAGCATAGCTGCGGTACAGATCCTCCATATTAACCTCTTTTCCCTTCACAACACAACTTCCTGCAATTGCACTGAATGTTACTTGAGGTAAATTGCGTGCTAAATATTAATCTAATAGGAATTTAATACGTTTTTAATTCCCAGAGATAATTTATAATGTAGGTACCTTAAATATTCTTAATTTATTAGAATTTACAAATGTTCCCTTGGAATAAATTGAATACTAGATTAACAATTTCAATTAACAAGGAAAAGTGTCAGATATCAACATTCTTATTAATTTAGACTACATAAACAACATTGGACAGTTATCCCTGGAAATTAATTGAATTGCATTCCTGTGATTTATGTCCAAGACCAACATTCAATGCTAATAGAACAAATATCTGTAAACGATCATTGTGGAAATGGATGAAAGTCTCTTGAGAAATGCTGCATGTAAGGACTCTCTCATTCATCCTGACTGGTCAAACCTAATCCTCAAAACTCACAACTTTTTTTATTTTAGCCTTTATAAGGCTCTAGCAACCACGGCTTGTAGCTAGTACCAAATGTATTGGGATGGGAATGTCTTCAATCACTGGTTCAGATGCCATGGTAACTGTTTATAAGATTAGTGTTACAACTCAGGTTATAAAACTGGTACTGTTTGGAAAAACTAGTCTAAACTTAATTATATAAACCAAATCTTTCCCACTTAAGAACAATATGTTTCATTGTCTTAATCAGACAGGCTAAGAGAGAGGACATATTGCAGAACCTGCTTTATATTTTTTGTAATATTTCCGTTGGTTAGTTGTTTAGAGATGCATGTTCCGACCATTATACCAGAGAGGGTGAAGGGTCTTGGGGCCTTAGGGAGTTGCATACTTCACGGCAATGTCTATAAACTTATTTATTTTTCTTAAGGAAAAGTATTTGTATCCTGATTTGCCTTTTACAGTGTCACACATTTAGTGAGAGTTTGTGAGACTTTGCTGCAAGAGAGGAGCAGATAGTGTATTGGAGAGGTTTGTGTCTACTCTACGACCTCATCTACATACCATCTTCCATGGTTCTGATGCGGGCAGCGGAGCTCTCCGGGCCGGGCCCAGCGTCAGTGTGAGCCCTCAGCCACACCAAATACTCAGTCCACTTCAGCAGGTCCTCCAGCAGGTGGCTGGTGACATCAGCACCGATCCATGACACCTGGTGGAGGCTCAGGTCCTCCCCTGTCAGAGCCTGGTAGCTCAGGGAGTACCTCACTATCTCCCCGTGTTGTCTGTCTGTGGGCGGAGCCACCCAACTCACCTTGATGCTGGTGGAGCTGAGGCTGAGCAAGCGTACCTCCTGGGGGGGGGCTGAGGGGGCTGATTGGAGGGAGGAGGGTGATGGTCAAACAGGGTGGATAATGGAAGACAGAAAGACTGACCTTCTGGACTGCAGAGATAATGTGGTTATATGTTACAGAAATAGAGGCGATTTCTCAACCATTGGTTCATATCCTTTCAATTTATTTTACCATTATGTTTTAGAGAAAACTGCAGTGAATTGTTGAAATTTGAATCATAAAATGTGAATGAAATTTGACTAAAATTGAAGTTTATCATATGCAATTAAACTATAAACTTAACTTGGATTCAAGAGTTAGAAAAGAAGATTCAATTGATATTAAACAAAGTTCCTTCAATATTGTAATTTAAGCAGCATCACCTTTTCAACAAAACAAATTGATAAAACGTCATCTAATCGAGCTTGGTTGAAACCAGATGTTTCATTTATACGATTTCTCTTAATGAGGTGAATTCTTGTCATAAAATGAACCCAATAATGCACAAAAAATATTTGGTTTTGTGATTTGAAGCTTTTGTTTTCATCGTCTTCTACAAAACATCTTCACAGTCCAGAGGGCATGGCAAAAACACGGGTATCACTTCACAATGATGCACACAACACAGACATATAAGCATAACAGCGTGAAGACACACCAACGGCACAGTAATACAAGGACACTGTAGATGAATGCATGTGTGCACAATGATAAACATGCATATATTTCAACCAAATACAAAAGCAAAGCAACAGTAGGGATGAATGTGGGGCTGGTGGGAGCGATAACACAGGGACTCTTCTCCTGACTCTGTGGCTGCTGAACAGTGTTGGACGCTGCCTTGTTCTAACAGCTGTCAATCCCTCAAACATACATAAACGTTTGCATGTGCTGAATAAAGACGCAAATGAACAGAGTTTTAAAATTACCATTAGTAAAAATAAACAAGACTGCCTCATGATGTCACAAAAAGGTCTGTACCACACCAAAGCAAAACATTTTAAGCAAATATGTCTTTTAGAGTTTGGCGGAAACTGATAGGATGATACGATTGAATTTGCCAATCCAGAAAACTGTGATTATGGACAGAATTGGGCATTGTTATAATGGAACGTAGCACAAGTTCTTTCAGGAAGATTGTCTCGTACACCCTGATTCACAAATTCTCTCTCTCTCTCACTCGCCCTTTCTTTCCATAAGCATGGGCGTATCACTCCCTCAGCTAAACCAATCAGATCAGTCCCATCTCCCACAAGCCAATCAAAGCGCATCCTGCAAACTTTTAAATCTGCTCTCTTCTCCCCTGTCAGCTGTCATTTCAGGCAACTCGATGCAGCCCTCCCCCCCTTTCGCCTCCAGTTCATCAGAACCAGGGCCCAGTCAAGCACCCTTCATCACTCTGGATCATCATCACTCCGTCCAGCTCCTCACCACCACCAGTGTTTAGAGGTTTCACCTTCCCTTGTCGGCCTCCCCCCCTAAATACGTCACAGCGTGGTGGGGTCTAATCGCCAAAGTTGAAAATGTCTTGCCCTTTGCACATACGGCAATAAATATGTTTATCTCAACAACAACTGGAAATCTCTCCTGATTTAAATACGAATATATAGGAAGTAGTTCAACCAAAGACTGATGTTCCTTTTCCAACATATTTCATTGTAATTGGTGGTATCAATGTTAATCACAGTAATAATCATAATCTTGACAAATCCTCAAGTTTAAAATACTACTACTACAGTAGGTTTTTTGCTCCAATTATAACATGATTTCGGAATTATTGGCATGGAGTCGGACAATTTTCGAACACTTCCAACATTTAAAATGAAAATGCCTGTGTGTGTGTTATCTCACCTTAACAACAGTAACATGTTGTATTGTGACAGTCGCCTGCCGTTGCTCGAAACAAAACAGGAGCTCATGAGATCATTTCTTTGTGTGTATATCCTCTGATGTCAATTTATAGAATTATAATGTGACAGGTTCCAGATATAAACAAGCAGTAAGTGACAGTAAAGGTCAGGGTCAAGTTCCCTGCCACGATGGGTTTGGCTCCCAGACGATGACTGGAAATCAAAGTGTTTTGTTTGTAGTGTGACTGTCGGTGCTGGGATTTCACTCCTGACAGGTAAAACTAGAGTAAAGGCTTAGATTCCTTCTGGGAGCTGCCATAAATACCGCAGGGTCATATCCCAGCACGCTATGAGGTAGGGATCCAATGCGAGATATGTCATGAAGAATTAAAAGTATGTAAGAGTATTAGTGTCAGTGTGTAAACAGTGATCGAATTCCTGCACATCGGCAAACTACGCAATGCTTCACATGACAAATTATCATTTTGAAGCAACATGGCGGTCATGATAAAAGCTTTCTCTCTGTGAAGCCATCTGTTTGTGTTTTCTAGGTCTTACATCATAATATGCTGCATGTATCCACCCAGTGGCTTTATTAGACAATTTGTCCAAATGTGCAATGTGCAACGCCTGGTGATTTGTTATTCTAAGGCAACAGAAAACTGAAACAAATATAAATCTATCAAGCAATAGTAGTGTGTATGAGTGATACAGTACTTCGGGTGAAATAATGGACTTATAGCCTGACAGAAAGACTCTTCAAAATGTCCTTTTCTTCTGTTGGCTTGGTGCTTGAACTTTGTAATTGAGTTGCATGTTCAGCAAAATCAAGCATGACTGACACATGGAAAAAAAGTCTTTACATAATTAATACTTAACTTGTAATTACTTGAAAGGGCCTTTTCACAGCCCGTCTTGTGCTGGTTTATGAGAGGAGGTTCTGCTTTATTCAGGTGTGACAAAGCTCTGGACAAAAGCTAATCTCTACTTACACTTTTTTTTAGAAGGATGACATGGAACAATGACAGGAAGAGTCCCAAAATCTCTAACGTGTCGTTCAAATATGTCCATGTATACATTTAGATTCATTGCATTCAATATTCTGTTCTGTCAATGCTGATTGAGTAGCTCTCCATTACAGTTACTTCTCTGGTTCCAACCCCAACAAAGTATTTAAATGCATGTTTTCATATGATTCGTATGTATTCAAAAGTAGACATACAGTACGTTGCTAATGTAATCAATCCATAACTATATACAGGTAACACATGCTGGAAAAAACAATGAAATAACATTAAAGGGGCCCAACTAAGCGCAAGTGTTACGTAGTGATGTCATTATGTTAAGCAACTACACATAGGAGTCCAATAGAGGCGTTCAAGTTTACATTTCCTCCCAGGACTTGAGAAGTTAAATGTTTATAGCGTTCTTCTAATAACACCCATTGACTTCTTGCTTTTTCACAGAATGTCTTGCCCATATGCACCCTGTGGATTCGGAGAAAACTGGCACCAATGACGACTAAGGGCTTTGTTTTTGTAGCTCAAGCGCCAGGGGGATTGATATGATTTGATCTAGCAATTCACTTTTTATTCTACTCTGCTATTTGACTTGTAAAAGACAAAAGGTATTAGAATAAAAACAAAAACTCCACTTACACTTCAGTTTCAAATGGTGCATGTTTTCCCCATCACATCAGTAAATGTAGGGCTGGATTGAACTTTTTGGACAGTCACCAAGAAGGAAAATCTTTCACTTAAATGCTGACCTTTCATGTTTTACCTTTGCAGTTGAACTCATACATGGTAGAGTCAGATGCTGCTTCACACACTACAGTCCAACATCACTTACCTGTCAGTGGATATGACTTTGCGTTGACAGCTCATAGTTCATTTGTAATTAGTTGATAGTTGGATCATAGAATGTACCAAAATGTAAAGGCAACAGTGAGTCATGTTTTATTTTTGACTGACATGTGTGAAGGTGACATTGAAAGGCTTTAGAACTTACTGGATTGGGCGGTCCGGGCCTCAATGGGCTGAGTAAACACTCCTAAACCCATCACAGACTTTGCTGCCAGGGAGAACATGTAGAGTGTGTCTGGCTTCAGACCGTCCACTGCATAGGAGCCGGCTGGGCCAAAGGTGGCATGACGCTGTGGAGAAAATTCAACCATGAGATCATTAAGCAACACTATATACACAAGTGACCCCCAACCCTTTTAATTATCGGATGTTGACAGTTTTTGTTATTTGTGACCATTGTCATAATTGTGATTAGCATTATTATTATTATTATCTGGGTTTTTATTTGACAATCCCTGAATTCAGTATGAAGTGAACACAATCAAAATACCAAAAATCCTATCATGTGCTTTCTTAAAATAAGTCAGAGGAGAGAAGGCACTGATGCTTGTAGTAAAATAAGGATGTTGTCTTGTCTTGGAGATAAAGATACAATTCTCAATCACGACACACACAATGAGATCGGTAGTGCTAAATTGACTCCCTTTATCTAGTTCCGTTAGGACACTAGACGGTAAGGAAGGTGGACCCATGACCAACTACATGCAGTTTCAGCTTTGATTTTGACTCTCTGAATCTGGGTTGCCATGGGGGCACGGACATATTATAAGATCATTTAGAGTATACTGTACTGTAGCTGTATAGAGAGGCTGAGGCTGCTGCTGAATTAGCCGAGCAAATAATATTGCCAGGCCTTAGGAGTTAGTGCATCCTGATGTAGGTAGAGTATGTAGGTATTGCAGGGAGGGCTCCACAAGCAAGTTAAAGTTATAGAATGTAATGAGGAATTCATTATATTGACTACATTTACCAGTACTTGTTGCTACTGTACATAAAAAGGGAAATCTTTCCTATAATCATTCACAAGGACACAAGTTGTAACAACCAATGAAAAAGGAGCAAAAAGGTGTGTCGTCAAATATACAACAAAATAATGCGTTATGACAAATAGCAATATAATAAATAAAATAAATGTAAATCCTCTGTGAAACGTATCATTTAATAATAATAATAACAATAATTCAAAGAATAACAATAATCACAGACTTAAAATGCATCCATTTCTTTAAGCGTAAAGAGTTTAAAGGTGGTAGTGACCTTGTCCCGAGGGTTGCTCTCCTCCCAGTACAGCAGTTCAAAGCTGATGATTGGCTCCTGGACCGGCCACAGCCAGGACAGCATGATGCGAGAGTCCAGCTCAGCCTCAGCCTCAAAACCAGACGGCTGAGAGGGGACTGGAGGCAGAAACAAAGACATGAAGAGGCTTAGAGATAGGAACTGAGAATGAGACAGTACATGGTGGAGATACACAATCAGACTCAAGGCAAATTTAATTTATACAGCCCAACATCGCAAATTACAAATTTCTCTCAGCGGACATTACAGACTGTACATCCTCTGTCCTTAGCCCCAAACTCCCCAAAAGAATGATTGTAGGACTAGATGTAAGAACCCTCAGTGAATGTGGAACGAAAAAGGGAGGTCGGCCACAGAAAAATGCCAATACTCATCAGTATTCAGAAGAGAAACTAAGCTGAAGAGGTTTAAAGGATGGAATCACCTTCAAATGCTCTTAGGTGATTTAGATTCATTTTTACTCACAATTGTCAACAGGAGCCCTGAGAGGCAAACATGTTCTTTCTCTCCTGTGCTTCTGAGAAATGAAATTAAAGTTTTGCAATCACTATCCTTAATATTTGTGACCCGCTATATCGAAATCAGTCGGAAGTCGCAACGGCTCATTTCAAAAATAAACTTGGATTTGCGTAAAAAACTATTTTTTCGGGGTTCGGGTGTTTTGTTTGATTTTAAACAAACAAAGTCTTGGCTTTCAGAATATGAAACTTTTATTTCCAAACTCACACGATAAATACATCTTATAACCGACGACATCTCTCGACGACCCACCGACACAACCTACCTCAGCTAGGTCCAAGGGCACTCTCGTTCCTTTGAGGTCTCTGACGTCCCTTCGCATTCGTCTTTACTTCAGCTCGGAATGCACTTCGTCGCCGCCGTCAAGGTGCTCGCGGTGACGTTGACTCTACAACCTAGAGTCAACCTCGTACACCTGATTGTTCTCTGTCCGGCCAATTTGCCGCACGCTAATCCTCTATGTGCTCGGTCACTTAACCCGCTCTCCTCGTGGGTACTTGTCCCTTACGCATTTATTTGTACGTAATATCGTACTCCCCGGAGCTTTTGGTTTCTCTTAACTTATTTGTGTTTCTTTTGTGGTCGCTATGAATCGAGTTAGTTTCATCCTAAACCGGAGGAGCACCACGAGGCTTAGAGAGCAGACGACGCGAGGTCTTCTCGGTGGGTATTCTACCTAGTGGGACTCAACGACTCAGAGTGGTTCGACACCCCCGTGCGGCGGAGGATTAGACAAGTGAGAGAAGTCGACCACCCGCTGTCGTCATCACAAGGGACGGTAAAATTACGTCGCCAACTCCGCTCACTGGGTGGACTCTGGACACAATGTCCAACTCAACCGTCTAGACTCTTAAATTATTAGAGAGGTCTTTAGCGCTAAAACGATGTTATTGATGTCTTGTTAATATGTCTAAATTATTTACTTGTCTCTTCAGATAAATTTCTTCTTATGATTGAATGTCACTACGACTCAGTCATAGCCAGTCACGGGAGTCCTACGCGTGCGGCCTCTGAGGGCGTCGGGGGGGGCGCGAGGAAACATCAGACAGAACAAGCAATCAAGGCTTCGTGTACAAAGGGCCCACAATGTCGGCGGACTTCATCGGAGGTGAAGAAGGAACATAACAGCGAAACGGTACGACTATCGAAAGGCCTCAAGTATAGATCAAAAGGAAATGAGAGGTTTAGAAGGTCGAGACACGCCGCACACACACATTATAACTCAAAAGTGTGTGAAAATAGGAGACTTCCACTTGACTTTATCTCCTTATTATTATTGTAAAGTAAGCGTCTATCGGACAAAAAGTTACGAAAAGAATCCGAATGACACCGATTTCGTTCTTACTGTCTCGACGTTCTCCTCTAATTTGGTGGGTTCTATGTCGACTGGGTGAAATAAATAAAAACCCCTTATCTCAAGTCTGCGGAACATCCGGCTGTAACTTTAGTAACCCTGAATTTTACGCATATTGTTTTCAGATTATGAACATAGTCCGAGACCTCCTCCAAAAGTATGAGCAGTCAAAATAGTAGTGGTAATGACAATAATATACAGTGTAAAAAGAGTTCAGTACGGTAGATAAAACTCTGAACAGAGAATGTAGCATAGTGGTCTTCGAGACCCTTGAAAATTTTCGTTGAAGTATGTGAGTTTTACCACAAGTTCGTAAACATGAAAAATTGTTTTCCTTCCCAACTTTGTCTCGGTTCACGATAAGGTGTGACTAGTTAGCTTCGACCAGCTAGTAGGCAGATAATTTCCGCGGGACAATACTAAGAACCCCCAAAAGACAATGGGACATCACATAAAATATCCAAACACACGTACATTACATTACAAGACGTTTCCGATTTAGGGGTTTCAAGGCGAAAGAGAGTTGTGGTGAGGGGGGGGGGGACGGACTTTTGCGGAGGTAACATCAGGTACAAATTTGAAAACACTGTATCACTGTAGTGATTTTTAGACCGACACGCTTCAATAAAAGGTGGACCAAAAGTTTCTACTGTTTTACACTGGACGAGATAGCTTTTAGTCAGGCGTAACCTGGGCTTCTGTGTAAAACTCAACATATCGTGACGACCTTACTCCCCTAAGGATCGAAAGATTACGATAGTCCTAACAGACAAACATGAGGTTTATAATTCGCTTTATACAGTGTAATTATATGCTCCTGACAGTGGCTCAGTAGTAAAACTCTTTTTGCGGAAGTTTCACAAACAGAAGAGACCTTAGTAGGTAGTAGGCTATGACTACTAATAAGTCGCCTCGTTTACTAGTTTATGATGCCTCCCTTCTATAAAAAGCAAAACCAAATGCCAGACCCCCTTCGGAGCGCCCACACACACACACACATATCGCCACACCAAACAATAAAAACGCAAACACACATAACCAAACAAAGGGCCCCCTTTGGAGTGCTCTTTGTGGCCGACAACAATACGACGACGCTGCAATTCACATAGGCAAGAGAGCGAACATTAGATACGCAATGTTCGGAGCTTTAACCCAAAATAGTAGACTTAAACGGCTTTGTTCAAATTATAAGACTTTCGGTTCGTGAAACAAAACTAACTTTTAGTCCTACTTTGGTTGGACCTTGCCTGGGACGGTACAATAAAGTACTAATACGAGATGCGAAATGTAAGGTTATTACAGTTCGGCCTCCCTCCCCCCGCCGCGACGCCTTCTCGTCTAACGGACAGGTAGAAGGGGAAATG